AAAATTGCATAAAATTAACATGTCATGCACACTATGGGTTTAATTAATGTTCAATCTGGTGTTCCTCAAGGTAGCTATTTAGGTTCATTACTCTTTGTTTTATACTTAAATGATCTTCCTTCAGTGATACAATTTTCTAAAGTTTTAATATTTGCACATGATGTGAAACTATTCAGCAATTTAGATTCTTCAAATCAAGTACTTAATCTTCAAAATTATCTGCACTTTATAAAGAATTGGTGCAACAATAACGGTATGTCTCTTAACCTTAAGAAATGCAAAAAAAATTGAGCCTATTTAGATCTCGGTCAATGTTTGCCGATTATTTTATTAGTTCTTACAAATTAGAAAATGTCGTTTCCGTTGTTGATCTTGGTGTCATCTCAGATGCGAAATTGCGATTTAACTTACACATCGAATCGGTAAAATAAAATTTTGTGTGCCTTCACATCTTCCTTTAGTGAGATCTAATTTTGAGCTAAGTAATCCGCTTAGATCACTATGTGATATATATAATAACTTGTATATACATATTATTACAAGTGCTATTCTACATATATAACTACAGATTGCAAGTAGTTGCCAGATGTTTGTCCTTCCTGTAGTTAGTTTAAGTAACTTAATTTCTTTACCGGCTGATGTTTTACTGTAGCCGTAGTTTCCCTACATTACTAACCCTCCATAATCCGGATTATGGTGTGTACGCTCTCCCTACGTTATGGGGAGTTGTCCCCTCGGTCGGCAGGGGCGGGTGCGGAGTGTCGTTGGAAACGATCGAAAAAATCCCAAGTTTTTATAACCTCCACCATGAGCGGGCTATGCAATGATAAATTTTGGGTAGGAAGGTTTGACACACAATTACAGTCAATTCGGTTAAAAGCGCGCGCATAATGATCAAAATACCGGAGGAATGGGTATACCGCAAAGTGGGCCCTATCCCCCAAATTTTTGCATTTTATTTTTGTCCTTAGAAGTAACTATGGGTCTATTGTTGCACAAAAAAATAAATTATCCTTTTATCGATGAGCCGTATTTTTCAAATATTTTATTACCAGTAATATTTATATCCGCTTAAAAAATTTTTGAAACCTCTGTGGGGTAGGTACCACAAATAGTGTCCCGATGGGTCATATTTTCCGACTTGATATAGGCTTGGCAAAAATATTAAGATGTGCAAAATTTGGTTGAGATTTGATATTCCTCTCGCTTAGTATGGTTAAAGTGACATTATAAAATTGGTTTTTAAAAAAATGTTGGCAATTTTGTGAAGATGTGGACCAATATTCCCGAACAAGATTTAAGCTTGGAAGAAATATTACAATGTGCAAGGTTTGGATGATTTTGGGGTTTCTTAAAGTTTACAAATCTTTTGATTATTAGTTGACGATTCATGAAATTGAGGACATCGTTTAAAAAAATGCTTTGGTTCCCAATGATTTGTTTAAATGTAAAATTAAAAGTTTTGTTAAATATTTATCAGGAAAATTTAAATAAGTATTTATCTTCAGCTATTTCCAAAAATCATTAATGTGGCAACAAATAATATTTTCTCAGTTTGTAACTAAGTATTTTTTTTAATTAATTACATTCACAATTTCGTAGCCTATACTAATGTGGAGTAAAAATCGTTCGGTACGGTTCACTGCACCCTTCTCATAACTGTTTGTTTTTATTTTATTGTTTAAACCCCATCCCCATTTAAATTTAAAAATTGAACAGACAAAAAGTGAAAACCTAACTAATTATCCCTTACATGTACCTTATTAAATAAACCTTGAGTACGATTGGTTGTGTGAATCACATGTCCGGAAGTTTAGCTAATCTGTTGCCGAATGAATAACCAACCATTTAGCACCTGCAAACGTAACTAGAGAAATAGAAAATCAACGATAGTTCTATTAACGATATCAGGTTTTTGTTTTTAGTCAACCAAAGAATTCTTGTTAAAAGTAGTTAACCGCAAAAATTACAAATTCAAGCACGCATTAACAACTTTTCGTTATGGAGAAAAATTCCCCTAAAACGAAATGACAATACGATGTAACTCTAATCTTATTAAATGTTAATTAATCAATAAAAAATATTAATGCAAAATACCCATACGCCCTCTACTGCATTGTGGAAAATTTTAACAGCAATAAAATTCTGCCATCGCTCAATAGGTGTGTTCGTCGTATTTTCGAGTAAAAATAGCACAATAATATTTGTTAGTAGAGTAAAGATAATAAGGGCTTTTAAATAAAAAATGTAAATGTGATATAATTTTTCTTTTTACGATATCACGGCTATCAGAAAGATCGAAAATATTGTATAATTTATTAAATTCAAGAAAAAGGCGACGAAGGCGATCATTCTTTGCATAATTAGAAGAAAAATAGTTTATTTGTCGTAGCTGATAGTTTTGAGATGATTTCTATTCAAAATATGTTCTCTAAAATCTAAACGATTATCTAAATGAATTCCTAGATCAGTCATAGAATCAACATATTCAACGCTCCGATCACGTACATAATAAATAGTTTTAATCTTTTTTATCCTAAAAAATTATATATGTTTGCATCGCAAAAATTACATATGTAGTATCGCAATATTTATTAATACTTATTTGAGGCGTAGCTTCTGTAACATTAACATATGGTTCCCTTTGTCAAATGACTTACTAAAATCGTTATAAATACGATCAGTTTGACTACGTTTATATATTGGATCGACAATCATACTCAGATCTAGAAGGTTTGTAATTGTTGATCGATTCTTTCGGAATCCATGTTGGTATTTTGACAACATTGATGAAACCTCGAAGGATAATGAATCGCTTATCATATTTTCAAAAATTCCGTTTAGTTTTGCAATTCCCCTGTAATTTGATACATCTGTTCTACTACCGGATTTAAATAATGGTATAATAAATGATTCCCTGTTGTTACAGATTTATTAACATAAGGTAAAGTGAGAATACACCCTGGACCAGGCGTAGAATATTTTTCAAATTATTTTAAACGGTCAAAACATTTAATGAAGGAACTCAGGAATTATGTTTTAAAAAATGATGCAAATCCATTTGAAATTCCAATATCATCATCGAAATAATCTGATCCATATTTTAGGATTTTTGGATACACCCTAGGTCGTCGCTTTGTGTTAGTAAAAGTATAAAACGATCATTACTAATTCTTGAATTTTTGTTATAACTTGTTCTTTTGTTTTTAATTTTGACAATGTAACTGAATTAGATGGGAATAGGGATAGGAACTGCTTTAGAAATACGATGGATGAAATAAACAGATGGAATAAAACATCTTGAACATTTCATCTAAAGAGACTAATGATTGAAGTTGGGTCCAGTCAATATAACTCAAAAAGGAATTTAAATTAGAGTACTTAGCTTACTTAGCTGGCTTGTGACAAAACTTTCGTTCCGTAAGCCAAACTTAGAAAAGATTTCCAGGCGTGTCGGTCTTTTGCGCAGTTTTTCCAATTTGAAAGACCATGTTCGGCAATGTTGTCTTCCACTTGATCTTTCCATCTAATTCGTGGCCTTCCCCTTCTGCGTGAACCATCTGCAGGTTCGCTTTTATATGCCTTTTGAGCTGGAGCATCTTGATCCATTCTCACAACATGACCTAGCCAATGTAGTCACTGCAGATCGATTCGTCTGACAATGCCGATGTCCGAGAATAGCGGGTACCACTCATGGTTTATTCGACAACGATATTCAACGTCAACGCGTCGATCTCTCTGCTTGCGCAAGTACCCATGCTTCAGATCCATACAGCAGCACGGGTAATATCAGCGTCTTTTAGAGTGTGAGTTTGGTCTGGCGAGAGGTGGCCTTGCTTTTGAGTTGCTTACTCAGAACATAGTAGCATATGTTGGTCAACACTATTCTCCCCCGGATTTCAAAGCTGATGTTATTAGTTTTGTTTATAGCAGTACCGAGGTGTATGAAATCGTTCACTACCTCGAAGCTGTAATTTTCAAGTTAAACACCTCTGAACCGATATTGCTGTCAAATGCGGCTTTATAGTCGACGAATAGGTGGAATGTGTCGATGTGTTTTCGTGGGGTTTTTCTAGGATCTGGCACAGAGTGAACATCTGGTCAATGGTGGATTTGCCAGGCCTTAAGCCGCATTGGTATGGTTCAATAATGTCATTGACCATTGGCTTTAGTCGTTCACACAGCACGCTGGATAGCACTTTATATGCGATGGGAAGGAGACTTATTCCTCCATAGTTGGCACATATCGTCTGTCTCCCAAATCCTCAGCACGCTATCTGTATCTGTCACCAGGTTTCCATCTTCATCTCTACGGACATAGGAAAATTAAAAAATAACTGTTTAATACGTTACCTTTTTTACAGACAAATGTCTTATATCTATATAATTTAAATAGCTTTAAATGTTTAAATAACACACAGAATTACATATAAATATGTAAATGTATATCAAAAGTACATATACTTTTCATATAAACATCTGTCTAAATGTGACCCCGAATGGTCCAATTTCATAACAATAATACTTACCGAAATACCTAAGAAGCATTTGTGCAAAAATCTTAGCCACCTATCTACATAAATCTAACTAAGTTTAAGGTTAACAATTTTCGGAAACCATTGCCATAACTGAAAATTAAAAAAAGACACTCAAATACAAGTCTTGCAGAGGTAATAACACATTTTATGTGTAATAAATTTGTAAATAAACTACAAAAACAGCAACTACATCTTCAGATTTAGTTCCCTTTTTAACATTTCCAACTCCGGTGCATCCGATTGGTCGTAGCTACAATTGTCGTTAAGCCTGGCATCATAATAAACACACACACACACACAACAACATCAATACCCTTCAACGGTGTAACAATTCATTCTGAACGCTTTAGCATGGGCTTGGAGTATATCTTGGCTGTTACTCGTCGAGTTTAGTTTAGTCGACACCGTGAATTCGGGCCAAGTGGATATTGTTCGCGTCGTTTTTTTTTCGTTTCCATTCGTTGGCAAAATTCCCAGCATCGTTTGTAAAAGAAGTAAAGAAAAAAATTACTAATACATTAAATAGTTGTCTTTTGTGTGACAAGTGAGTTAGTTCATAATTAAATGTTTGCCCAAATAATTATTAAATACAAGTGATAATTTCAAAATATCGACGCACTCAAAAATACTTGCCCAAAAAATGAGATGTGCTAAACATTTGTAAACCGCGCGCAAAAAAAAAAAATTAAAAAAAAAACATAAACAGATAAGACTACACATGCTCAGAAAAAGCTAATTGGGAAATATTTTTAAAATATTATTTGTGATTTTCGTTATGCTAAATGCTGTTTCCGTATAGTTGTTGAATAAACGTTTATTTTGTGTTAAATACCTATGTCTATATTCATACATATATTTCCAATTGTTTTACTGATAACCTAAAGATGTAAAATAAATTTATTTGTTTATCAGTGGACCACATCGAAACCAGTAGTGAATTTTTGGGTGGGCTTACCATTTATGTTTTTGGGTAATTAACGATGTGAATGTGTGTGTATGTGTTTTGTTTGTTTTGTCTGCATTTCAACAATTTACTAATAAACATTGTGGATCGAAGAAAGGACTACAACAATTTATGATAATATTTACAATTTTATATTTACTATTTTATATTTACAATTTTTGTTATATTATAATGAAAAAATAAATATTGCCAATTTATGTGTTCGTGAACACAAAAATTTATAATAATAATTATTAACACGGAATAAATGTAATCAGAATAAGTTAAAAAAGTGAAGAATTTTGTGGGAAAATTACATTCAAATTTTCCTTTTTTCTTCTTCTTCTTCTTCTTGGTTTATTACCCATTAATAATGGCTTATAGTTCAAAGATGGCCAGATTTGCACACTAGCGTTGATGCATTCTCTTAACATTTTCTAATGTTAAAACTAAAATAAACATTAGAGTAAGTGATGCAAATGTGGCATACTCACTTTTTTTGTAAACTGAAAATTTTATAATAACTGAAACATGTTTTATACTTTGCTGTTCTCAATTTAATTTATTTAAATCACGTTGAGAGTCAGTAGCACATACTCAAGTACGATTAAAATAAAAAAATATTAAAATTCCCGACCAGAATCCGATCGAGAACATATGTGGAATCTTGACTCGTCGTGTCTATGCAGAAAACCGCCAATAGTAAACTGTAGTTTACCTCCAAGAAGTGATTATTGATGAATGGCGGTCAATCGATGAAGATTTGCGAAAAATGTTGATCAAAGTGTTATAGATAAAATTTCTAAACTTATTCAAAATAAGGGAGGCCCTACCCATTATTGATTTAGTTATTTTATTTAAGTTTTTAAAAACAAATTCATCTAATTTTGTAAAAGTGCGTCTATAGTTATGCAACACCAGTAAGTTTGAAAGTGCAGAATTAGGCGAAACCATGAAGAGTAAATTAATTATTTTTGTTGAATAATATGTGTTTTTGATCATTTTATTGCGAACAATAATTTAATGGAACGATTTTATTTGTCAACTAACATACCAATTGAATTAAAGGTGCGTCTATTGTTATGCTACGCAGTGTATAAGTCAATGTTTTGTATGTTTTTTCATCTTCTTTCTTTGTTCTTGGGCTTGGATGTTTTTAACAGTTCGTCAATAGTTCTCTGTGGTAAATCATTTTTCCTCAGCATATTGCGTATCCTTTCTTTGTTCTTTTGGTGGATTTGTTCGTAATGCTGGTCTTGGACCCTTACATAGATCAGATTTTTATTTTTCATAAACTTATTTGAACATTTTTACCAAGTCGGTTCATTTTTAATAAACATATTCTTAATTTGTTCTAAAAATTGGTAAAAGAAGTAAAGGACAATATTTTTATTGTGTCTTATCAAGTCCGAATATGGGATCCATTGGTTCACGTATTCTTGTACTTCCTCACAAAGGAATGCCAAATTACAAAATGTTGTTAAAACCATCAACATACAGAATATAGAGTGGGATCTACAAAGAGTTTTTTTTTGGAAAATTCGTGTGGAAAATATGGTTACTTCATACTGAAATACCAATATCCAATTCAATATTCTAGTACTATTGTGTTGCTTAACTCGGTCTTGAATATCGCGTTCTATCTACACTAGAGCTTGTTTTCCTTCAAGTAAGTAATTTATAGCATTGTACAATAACAAGAGGTAGGTTATTTGTACCTGGTGATTACAATTTTTTTCTTTTGCGTGTTTCTGTTCTATCAAAACAAATAAATGGACACTATAAGACATTACACTATACTACAATTTTTGTTAATTTCGTCAAGTTATCCTACCTCTTGTTATTGTACTATGATTAATGGGGGAGCTATGTGTTACTTTCTGTGGCCCGTTGTTCGGAATTTGTTGAAACTTTCATGCATTTGGATTTAGAATTTCAAATGACATTTTGCTGCAGGACATGCATATCAAGATTATTGAATTTAAAAATAATCCCGTTGAAAGAAGATTTAATTATGTACGGTAAATACCGAGGTATAAGACAAGATAAATGAAATAAACCATAAACCAGGAATCTTCTTTTGGATAAAAAATATTCTCGGTATCAAAAAAAAAAGTTTTTTGATTTAATTCGATCCAACGCTAAATTAAGAAAAATTTCAATTGAAAATCTCAAGAACTCTTGAATATATGCCGATTTATTGTGTTAGCACCAAGTGACGGCAAGAGTGGTTCTCAAACTTTAAACGCATTTTTCTCGAAGCTGTATTTTTACGAATGGCGGGCACGATAACTTAAAAATTAATTGGATTACTAGTGTAGCTGCGAGTGTATAGCTATCGTATGAACTAGGTTCGGTGAAGAACTTCCTTATTTTTAAACTTAGTTTGTGGTCAAAAATAGGCGAATTTCCAAAAAAATTAAAGGTCCGTCATTTTGTTAATTTATGAGCGAAGTCTATAATCGTAGTTCATACGAGAGGCAGACATGTACTCTCTCTAACACCCTTGGAATTTCCGGATTCCGATGTTCCAGTGCCCGCAATCAAAATAAAGGAATTTTCTTTAATCACTAAAAACAACAACAACCTAATTTTGCTAATTATTTTTTTTCTCTTTTAAATCTTCAATTATGTATGTTTAAAGTTACAAACCTTAACTGTATTGGTGTTCATTTAAACTCTATGGCAATTATCAATTGTACACATAATATTTTTATAAAAAATCAATTTAATATATGCCGGGGTACATCTGTTTGAAATGTAATAGTTTAACAGCAATTACACAATAATTTAATTTATTTAATTTTAAAAATAATCGTTTAGAGAATTGATTTGTTGTTGACAACTAGTTGTAATTTCTTCAATTTTTGATACGACTATTATCACCACACGGTATAATATTAATAATGTAACAACAAATGTTGTTGCATGGAATGTGAACAAAAGCTTTATAAGGGCTGATACCACATGGGGTTGCATGAAAAGTGGAAAGGGGTTTGATAATTGTATCTATTCATTGATAATTCCAAGATGCATCCATAATATGCGATAGAATGTGAAACTATTTAAAACTATTTTTAAGTTTGTGTTTTTAATTAGAAAGATGGAAAATTTTTATGTAAATGGAATTGACAATAGTCACAAAGATATAGTCAAATATCGGCTACATCGGACCATGTGCATATACGAAGGAATCAGTGAATAATGAAGTCACTTTCATTTAATATTACTGGGATTGCGTTATACTTTCTGTTATAAGCAGATGCCTACTTTTATTTATGCACATGTTTTGTCATTAATAACGAATATTAAGTAGTTAGTTCTATAAATTATAGTTTTATGTTAACACGATATTGACGTATTAGGGTGGGAAACAACAAATTAGCATTTTGAACAAAAACAAAAGAATAGGAAAAAACCCGCGATACTAGAGGGATTCTATAAAATGTGCATTGGAATAATTTAAATTATTTACACGAATATAACCAGTATGAAGTAACATTGTGGCTACAATAAATTTTATTTCACAATTTTATAATTTTTTAATGTTATGTGGGTAAACAAATCGTATCTAAAAATGGGAAGAATAGAATGACAACAAATAAATTAAAACGGCATATACATTAGAACTTTTGTGTCGATACAGTATTTTTAATGGATGTTGTTCGTTTACTTTTGGCAAATTTCTTTCTTCGTCACTGTTTTTCGGTTTTACTCTCAGCTAATTTTTGCTGAGTAAACGTTACTGGAAAAGTAAACGAACAACATCCAGTAAGAAGATTGTATCTACACAGCTGGAGAAAACAACAAACAATTTTGCGCACACAAAAAAGCATTATTTTTAATAGAAAAATTGATACCAAGCGGGAAATTGATTGCAATTGATAGCGGTGTGGACATTAACGATGGCGTTCCAGACATGTTATGGATTCACACTTTTTTGTTTGGATTTGGAACCTAAATGATACAAAATCAAAATTCTCATTCAATTAGCTTGAGAACAATTTTGTTGTTTGTTTACAAAACATAACAAAACAGCTGATTAAATATCAGCTGATGGTACAAGAAAATTCTTACTAAGTAAATTTTCCTTGTAAGAACGAACCTAAAGTTGTATCGATACAGTTTATTACAAGGCCTACATAAGGTCGGCCAATAAGCGAATTCATAGAGAAAACTTAAGTTTAACCTCAATTTTTTTTGCTCAAAACACAGCCAAAACATAACACAATCTCTAATTTGTAGCATAATTTACTTGAAAATCTTCTTAAAACTCTTGAAATAGTCCAAATGTGCTTTTCAAATGCGATATTAATATTTTCATTTTGACGTCTTTTTATTATTTATTTTTATTTGTATTTCCGGTTTCTTTTTCCATTTTAATGTTTAATGATACAAAATCAAAATAAACTTGTCCAACATTCAAATTGTTTGTAAACAAATTGATTTGTTTGTTTACAAATTATCATGGTACAATTATAAAAGGTAACAGCAAATCCCAGCTGATTTTATTCCAACGTTATACTAGTGTCAATATGAATTTGACAAATTATGTTTCTAAAAATGACCCAACAGGAAAATTTGGTAGCATAAAATTCGAAGTTGTTCTTTATTAATGTCCTCCCATATTCAATTTAGTCAATCTGCCTGCTGGGAAAGTTTAAGGAAGCAAATCTTTCTTCATGGAATAACGCGCAATTCCCAGCATTTTCATATGTGTTAATGGCAATGGCTCAATTAAAGGAATGATGTGGAAGCGATAGAAATATAAATTTGATAGATTTTCATTCATGTTTTTCAATTTTATTTTAAAAATTCGAAAATATTACATTTTTCAAATAAATAAATGTTTTTGATAATTTGTGTGTTTGTTTACATTTTTCAGTCGAATGACGTTGACACTACTATTACTTACAAAATTTCCATGTGGTTGTTGTATCGTTTGTTGTACAACAACACTTTGTACCTGTTATCTTCTATTACACTGTGCGACACGAAAATTATTCAGGGGTACTAATATACCAATATATATTTGGTATATATTCGGTTGAGGATTGGCTGAGTTACAGTGGTTGAAATGTGAAAAAATATATAAAGACAAAATTTATTTTTCTTCGGACTGTACGATGAAATTATGATATCAAGAAAAAAAGAATAGAGTAACTTCGGGTAATGTGAACCATCAATGTGGACCAGTATGTGTGGGTAATGAGGATCAGTAAGTTAAAGGTAGGTTGTGATAAATTTCAATTTATTGCACTCTGAGGTAACAATGAATGCAAAAATATATGGATTCATGTGTAGCCCCCATTTAAGGGTACCTCCACATTTGCGGTATTTTGAAGGTCCTTGCTTCATTATCCAACCGAAGCACCTGTAATTTCGCATATCGAGTTTCAGAGGATAGAATACCTCCTCGAATATTAAATGCGCCCATGTTTCGAACTCGTTCTCATGAAAAGTCCCACTTTTTTATAGTGGTCCACGTTACCCGACATTGTATATTTTTATTTAAAATTAATTATTGGCTTTAAAAATGAATAAAAATTAAAAATCACCGATTATAATTACAGACGTATATTTTTGTTAAAGAAAACAAGAAAACCACATAACTTCTTTATATTCGAGAAAGATAAGATGTTCAACTTTTTTGCAAAAACGTTTGACTACCGTGCTAAAAAATGTTCAAATCACACTTTTACAATCAGAGCTACATTTTCTACTACTAAATTTTCAACATTGCAATTATTTCTTAAAACCCAAGTTTGATGTTTGTTTTCACTAATTACGAAAACATTTATCAAGGCGGCATTGACATATTTCAAGCATTTTCTTAGATTTGGGCGGTGGTCCACATTAGACGCATAGTCCACATTACCCGAAGTTACTCTAATATAAATCCGTTATAACTTATTATTTGCGTTTCAAATTGAAAGTATATTAGACCACGTTTTTCTCTACATATACCGTTATAAAACTAATTTTCGAAGTGGCCCAGAAAACCCAAAGGTATTTTCGTGTTCTAGGGACACCTACTAAACAGAATTGGTACATTAGAACCCCTGAATATTTTTTTTTGTTGTTTTGTAGCACAGTGTTATTATATCATGACAAATTATAATAAAACAGATGATACATGGTACAATTATAAAAGGTAACAGCAAGTCCCAGCTGATTTGATTCCAACGTAATACTAGTGTCAATATGAATTTGACAAATTATGTTTTTAAAAATCACCCAACAGGAAAATCGGGAACGCATACAATTCGAAATTGTTCTTTATTAAATGTCCTCACGTATTCATTTTACTCAATATGCCTGTTGGGAAAGTTTGAGGAAGCAAATCCTTGTTCATTGAATAACTCGCAATTCCCTGCATTTTCATATGTGTTACACATATAAGTGGCAATAGATCAATTATAGGAAAGTTGTGGAAGCGATAGAAATATGAATTTGATAGATTTTCATTCATGTTTTTCAAAATTTATTTTGAGGATTCGAAAATATTTTATTTTCAAAATAAATATAATTTATTTGTTTGTTTACATTTTTCTGTCAAACGACGTTGACACTAGTATAACTTACAAAAACAAATTTCCATGTGGTTGTTGTATCGTTTGTTGTACAACAACACCTTCTATTATTATACCATGCAGATGATAAAATATTATATAAATATTTATAGTTCCGTTCCAGAACCTGAAAGATTCTACTAATTTTAAAGGTTTTTCAACTTTTTATTCGAAAACCGTTCCTGAACCCGCAAAACTAGTAAAATGTTCAACCAAAATTAAGAGAACACAAAACAAAATGGCGTTCTCTTTGTAAAGTTTTTACTCGAGATATTTGGCCGAGTAAAAATGGTAAAGAGGAATGCCCACTTCTGATTGTATGTTGTGTTGATTTTGAAGTACTGTCATCTAATTTTGAAATATTTACTAGATTTCCGTTTCCGAACTTTTCTAATTATTTTGTACTCTGAGAGTGATTTTGACTTTTACTAAATTTAATATTAAAAAAGAACTGTAACAGACCATATATTGTTTTGAATACAATGTCAAATATATTCAAATTTAATTGTAATGAAAACCATTTGTTACAGCTTTTGTCTGGAAGACCATTTTCATGGCCATAGATTCTGTGAGCAATCCTCGAAAAAAATAGTTCAATATATCCATACATGACAGTATCGAGCTGATATAAATATGTAAATTATCTGGACGTACCACTGGGAACTCGTATTTTAAAATTTCACTATAACATATATATTGTATTTCAAAATCACCTTTTTCAAATCTTATTCAAAACATTTCAATGGCAATTCGAGAATTTAATTTGTAAATCGAAAACTCTATTGGCAATTCATAACATTTCAGTTGTAATTTGAGAATGTAGTTGGTAATTTACAATGTGTGTTACCAATAATATTTTTCGAATTTAAAATTAAATGTTATGAATAACAAATGAAATGTTATATATTTCAAATGAGACGTTATTAATTTCAAATGGAATTTTTTGAATTTTAAATGCAATCCTTTTAAGTTCAAATGAAAGTATATGAATTTCAAATGGAATTCTATGAATTTCGAAAGGTATTCTATGAATTACAAATGAAATTCTCGAATTACTACAGATATGTTATGAATTGCAAATTATATTTTGTGAATTAAAAATTGAATTCTCAAATTACATAAATTGAATAACATGTGAAAAAGGTGCAGTAAAATATATATTCTTGATGGTACACGGACAATTTTTCATTGAAATGCACACGTTTTTATTTAGAATGACTTCTGACCAGCTTTGAATATTTTGAATGCTACATTTTTACTTGAATACTTGTGTATTCGAAATAACAGAGTTGTTTAGTGGATTGACTCTGGTCACGGTCATCCATAAATCCTATTCTACTCAGCTAAAGATAAGGGAAACCCCAATGTTTATGTGTTAATATATATATATCTCCAGTTTGAATAATATTTATAGTTATGTATTTCGATTGTTTGTACAACGACTTATGGTGTTCACAGTGGGCCGTTCCCCCATTTCCTTATCTAATATTATTAGCACTAAACTACCGGTTCTGGACTCTGATTTGCTTGGTATGTCTGTATGTACATATGTCACAATGACGAACCATGTTTGATAAGTACAGTGTACTTGACTCCATCACACCAAAAACCGATTCTACAAATAACAAATTATTCACGCTAATTACATCCAGTAAACATTGGGAACCACAAGAGATATTTTTGTGGGTATTTGTTTAGTAGGGGTCGACATATTTATGAGTTAACATATAGATTTGTATGTTGGCAAATAGACATCAAAGGCCTGGCAAGACACGGTCAAGCATTAGCAATGAATCATAATAATGCTGTTGAGATTACAAAAGCGTTTTAATTTTTTTCATGGCCTAGCATCACCATCAGCCGAACGGTGATGGTGACGGTGCTATTTATCATAACTGTGTAGTACCTATACACATACTCACAAATACTTACATACATATTTACAAACATTTTCATTTTCACAGTTTATTTGCAGATATTATTGGTCTCACACCTACCGCTAACCATGCAGTCACTGGACGAGAAATGGGGTGAGGAGAAGTCGCAGATAGCGGCTTGGTATGCCGGCAAAAATGTACTAATAACTGGAGCTACAGGCTTCATGGGCAAGGTGCTGGTTGAGAAACTACTCAGAAGCTGCCCCGACGTCAAGGGTCTGTATTTGCTGATTCGCTCGAAGCGAGGTCTATCGCCGGAAGTTCGTAAAGACCAATATTTGAAATGTGTGGTAAGTAGATAAGCGGTTCCAACCAAAACTGAAGTAAAGGTTAAAAGTAAAACAACGCTTCGGTTTGAGTTTTTCGTTAATGGCCATAATGGATGGGTTTGTGTGTGCGCGTTTTTTTTTGTTCAAATATACAAATGATTGTGCACTTTTACAGTTATGTGCTTATATACGAAGACAATGATTTAGTCGTCGTCGAACGAATGTACATTTGCCAAATAAACTTTAGAATTCGGTATGTAGTAATGTTCAGTTTAAGAAGTCTAAAGTTGAGTTCGAATTATTTCGGCATAACATTTTGCAATATCCATTGCACTTGAATCTTGCAGTACGGGAACATACCAAGTGTTGGACAATTCAATGGTTTTTTTCTTAATTAAATTATCAATTTGGGAGTTTGTTTTTACTGTTATCCTTTGAATTATTCGTTGGACAGATTTTTTATTGAATAATAAAAGCATCAGAATATCTAATTGGTAAAAATGCATAGAGTAAGGATTAGTAAGGACTTAACGAAAATAATACTAAGTGATTTCAACTCTGTAATAAAAAAACAAGTGAAAAGGAACTGAAACTTTACATTTAGGAGAAAGACCACGTAAAACTCCAAAAGCGATTTACTACTATTTCCTTACTATTAAATAGTAAGAGAGTTTACAAAACTATCTCAAATTCTATCATCTTAAAATAAAGGTTGCAGCCTATGCCGATGATGTAATCTTGCTGGTTGACGGGAAACTATTTCAGATATTATGGAGGGGACCCTTTCAACTCTGTCCAATTGGGCACACGCCAACGGTATTGGTGTAAACTTCACTAAGACAGAATTGGTGCTCTAAGATTCCTCGTTTCCGCTTGCCATCTTTGGGAGGAGTGACCCTATCCCTTTCTGAAGAAGCAAAATACCTTGGTACAATCCATGACCGCAAATTTACGTGGAATAAGAATGTTGAGTAACGCTCTGAGGAAGGACTGATAGCACTCTACTCTTGCAAGAACTCTATAGGAAGGAGCTGGGGACTAAGACCATTCTTACATATGGTTGCCCTGTTTGGTGGCAGGTGGTCAACAAAAACTGCTGACAAAATTAAATTCAGTACAGCGATCGGCTTCGATCCTGACAACCGGAGCGCTAAGAAGCAAACCGCAGGCAGCCTTGAATGCAATCTTGAATCTCTAACCACTGGACATTCTGATTAAATTCGAGGCTGTAGATGTGCCCTGAGGCTCCGAGAAACGGATGCCTGGAAATCACTGAACTATGGTCACGCTTGTATCCTCAACATAGCGCCAGGTTGTGATTTCTAGACGAGAAATACTGACATTACTGCCGATAATACGGGACCGGTGACTATATATGTCGATAATCAAGGCTTTGAAGTCGTGCACTGTAAACTCAAAAAAACCGCTTGTTCTACGGCGAGGTAGTTGATAACAGATGGTCGCAAGAACCTGGTTGCAGAAAAAGTTATCTGGCCTGAATTCTCTCGCTGAAGAACTTCTTCGCTGTTGTCACATAATAAGAAAAGTCAAAATCATTGTGGGAATCATAACAGTTCACTGCAAGATTAGATCTCTCACACGGTAATGTGACTCGAACGGAGAGCATTTCTATCGTCTATGTGAGGACGAAGAAGAGCTAGAAACAATTGAACAATCCTCTGTAGATGTCCATCGCTGAGTGGCAGAAGACACAAACAGTTTGAAAGATATAAAAATTGATAATCTAGCATTCTTCTCCAAAATAGACCCCAATAAGACCCCAACATTTATTCATAACATTTTTATTATTTTATTTATATTTGTTATGTTATTATATATATATATTTATATTGGGCGCCATTTTCTTAATGTGTTTGTTTCCAGTAGTGACTTGCAAACACTGTTTTTGAACACAATCAATTTGTATTAATTCTTTTCTTCCATTTTTTTAGATTTTCAACAATATCTTAGAATTATATCCTGAGATTGGCAAAAAGATTTTCGTTATTGGTGGTGATGTTTTGGAAGACAATCTTGGTATCAAACACGAGGATAGAGAACATTTAATTCAAACTATAGACGTAGTTTTTCATTGTGCCGCCAATGTACGCTTTGACCAACCTCTGCGTCCGATGGTTCAAATGAATGTTATGGGCACCCAAAAAGTATTGGAACTTGCGACACAAATGGAAAACCTCAAAGTTTTTGTTCATGTTTCAACGACATTTTGTCAAGTAAGTACATATTTTTTTTCTAGATATAATTTGCACATAATTTTGTATTAGAAAATATATCATAAATATTTTAAACTGTGAGGAAAAAAAATCGTAAAGGAACAGTTGGCCTGAAAATGTTATTGACATATTTTACAGATGCCGATAAACACTATGCTTACTATAAAATCTTCTCTCGAACATGTTAAAATTAAAATCACAATAATAATTGATAAAAAATATTCCATGTTAAAATTGAAAGTTGCAAAATTTTAATGGTTTGCAATTTTTAATTGTAAATATTATTTTAAATAAATCACAGTTTTGTTTTTCTTTTTTTAGTGTAATGAACCATTTGTTGAGGAACGTGCCTACAGTGCTCATCGCAATCCCTATGAAATCATTGATATGGTCAAATTAATGAATGACGATGAATTAGCCAAGGTTACACCTGAGTAAGTTCGGTGCTACTGTTTTAAATAGTTAATTAGATCACGTTTTTTTCGACATAATTACTTTATTTGTAGATTGCTGAATGGTTTGCCAAATACATATGCGTTTAGCAAAGCCTTGTCTGAAGATTTAATTAACAGATATGGACAAAAAATGCCAATAGTTATTACAAGACCATCAATTGGTAAGTATATGGAGTTAAGAAAATATTAATTACTGAAAGGCCAACTTTACATTGTACAGGATTTAGTCAATCCAGTAGATACAAGTCATCAATTCTATTGAACATACAGTCGAAATCGTTTATAACAACATATCGGCTATCGAAATCCAACAGTCCCGATTTTCTCCACTTCCGTATTTTGGGGATTTTTGGCACGATTTTAAAACGAGTTTTCATTGGCCGACACACCTTCCTACCAAAATTATCAATATTGGTATTGGGATACGATTTCAACAAAAATGGCTATAATTTAGTATATTGAATTGTCGCTGGGTAGCAAAGTGTTGTAAATTATTTCTACGTTCAGCAATGTCCACACAAATTAAACACAGTTTTAATACGGGGTTGTCAAACTTTATTTACAGAACTTTACTTATGACGACACTTAACAGCTGAGCAATTGTTCTACTTTAAAACTTCTTTTATGCACTTATTACTAATTCTAGATCATTCTAATTCCAATGATTACTTATGTAAATTTCCATTTCGAACCATAAATTACATCCCCATCATATTGTAATTTATCAACATAGGGACCACTAATATAATATATGATGCCAATTCATAATGCCATAATTCACAATATTAAACACAAAGCTTCCTACCAAAAATTATCAGAATTGGTTCACTTTTTAGAATAGCACCCATATAACGATACTTTATTCGGTATTAAGGAAAGCGTTTTCCAGTATACCATTACAACTACATACAGTACAAAAACAACTAGCCAATACCAATGATAGCTTAGCACATTTCGTACATATTTGGTACGAGTTTCCAATATAAACACCATAAATCTTTATCGACTTTAGTACAAATTTCGACAAACCCACCCTAATGGCACATGGACACGTCAATACTTACCCACATACGCCCGCTTGATCTGGGCGTTGCTTATTAAAAACATTTGCCATTTTGCTTTTGGTACTACACATTCCTGAAAAAATCGCTGACACTTCCCATATAGTTCTTATTTCCCTCCACAATTCCTGGCTTTTTTATTATTATGACATAATCAAATTGTCTTCTTACAGTTACTGCTGCATGGAAAGAACCACTTCCCGGTTGGATTGAAAGCATAAATGGTCCTACCGGTCTAATGATTGGAGGAGCACGTGGCGTCATCCGAACAATGTACTGTAATCCAGATAATTCCTCGACAATTATACCGGTAGACACAGCAATAAATGGAATGATTGTAGCCGCCGTCCAACGAGCCCAAAAACACAAATCACCAACTGTCGAATTTATCAATATGTCTACATCAAATAAAGCACTACAGACCTGGGGAGAATGCATCGAAACAGGAAAACGTTTATTTTATAAAACGCCTCTTAGCTTTTCGCTCTGGTATCCCAATGGTGATATAACTAAAAGTTACGCCTACTTTAAATTTTGTGTGATATTCTTCCACTACTTGCCAGCATACTTTTTGGATTTTCTTCTAGTATTGTTACGACGTAAGCCATTGTAAGTAGACCATTCATAAATTCTCACATGATTTTAATCCAAATAAAAATATTGGCCTTCTTTCAGTTTGGTGAAAGTACAGAACAAAGTGTCTGTAGGAATTAAGTTGGTCCAATATTACACCACCAAGGAGTGGGTATTTGAAACTCATAAATTCGAAGCGCTACACTCAAATTTGAATCGGACAGATGCAGCTATTTTTAATATGGATACAAATCAACTGGATTTCGAACAGTATCTCCATAACTACATATTGGGCATACGAAAATATATGCTTGGAGAAAGTGACACAACAATACCTCGTGCCCGGTCAATACTGCGTATTCTCTACTTCTTGGATTGTGCAGTCAAATTGATATTCATGAGCATTGTACTCTTCCTCGTATGGACTCACGTTGGGAGATTTATGGATCGAAGCGATAATATTTTGCATTCAGCACTCAGGACAATTTATATGTATAGAAATAAGTCGTCTGAAATTATGTAATAAGCCTAACATATTAATTATTAAGTTTGGTGTAAGATAATTTACTAGTTACCTGCAAAAGAAAGAATGTTTGGTTGTGTACTGGTAAAATTTAAACAAAAATAAAAACATATATAGAAATTTTCCATATTCTTTTTCAATACAAAAAAATTAAATGAAAAGTGTTTGCCTAAATCTTCTATATAAAAATGCAACGCAACTTAAGTAGGTTTCTAATAAAAATCTTTGATCTCAAATTACTCAAAACGACGGTGAGCACATTGGAAAACGAAGCAAAATCACGAGTTCTACAATCCTATAATCAGTTTAGTGCATTAACTGGTGGCACGCCCAGAAAAAACACAAATTCAAAAAACGCCGAAATTCTGACTTAAAAATGGCGGCATCCGTTTTGGCTGGTTATATCGAAAAATCATACATTAGAACAATATTAAGTGTGTCTGGTTACTTTTCCAGTAACATTTACTCAGTAAGTTCTAGGTCAGAGAGTTCACCGTTTTTTCTCTCTTTTGCGATAGTACTGAGAAAAGTAAACAGACAACATTTAGTAAAATTCAACAAATAAACAGCTGATTAAAGAAAACATTTTTATTTGCGCCAAAATAAACAAACAAAGAAAGCACGAACACAATATAAGATTGCATTTTATATTAAAAATAAAATGAACAATCAATATATTATCCTCTTTCTTGAACTTGCCTAAAAATATAAAGAATTAGTTTCGAATTTAATGAAACTTTGCTTCTGTAATTTTTATACAAGTTAACTTCAAATTGAACTTTGCAAATTAAAAAAAAAATGTTTTGAATAATTTTTAAGTTTGGTCATAAAACAGCTGATCCCAAAATGGCTGAGTTTGAAAAATCTTATTGCATAAAATTCTTTCAGTAAACTCCATTAAGTTTGTTGTTGTTGAACTGTCAAATTTGCTCTCTCTCTTGACCCTCTTTCACTGGATTTTTGGGTAAACAGACAACATTTAGTATCATTTGGTAACAATTGTTACCAAACAGACAGAGCTATTGTCTTGAACTTAGTCGTTGAACACATGTGTGTAAAAAAAAAACAAAAAACGTTTTGACTTCAATACATTTTCACCATGTTTTTACACTACCCCTAACACAGCTTCCATGTAACCTATTATTTCTTATCGTTATTATCTATATTTGGACTACTATACATAATTTTACAGTAATTCATTTATATTATATTGAATATTTTAATATTTCGCGATATATAAGGTTTTTAGGAATTTAAAACTTCTTTTAATATTCCCATATATGGACAATATTGCCAATTTTTTAATATTCCATTTTCAAAAAAACGACTTTTTTGTTTTCGTAGTACATCAATTTTTGGTACACATATAGAGAAAAATATCCTGACTCCGAATCATCGAGGTTTTAATTTTGGGCATAAGAAAAAAATCTTAAAATTACGCCGTATATTGTACAAAAGGTTGATATATAACTTCCTTCGTAAAATATGAATATGCAGATACTATAGTAACCGCGAAAAAGTTGCACCTTTTTAGAGAAATATAAGAAAAATATAGGGGATTATGTCATTATTTTCATGACATACATACACCTAATAAATAATTAGTTTAAAAATATCTACATAATCTAAACACCACGATAAATGAGATGATATTAAAATAACACAAGTCTGTGTAGCGGTTTGTAAATTACAGCGACAATAAAACAAGATATTGAAAAAAATTATTTGTTTTTGGTTCGAAGAAATAATGTCATCATATCATACTCATTCTTTTTAATTTTAGACAAGAAATTTCAGAAAAAAATGTTGGACTTATTATTCTATTTTACCCAAATTTCACCGAAAAATTTATATATATTGTTACGAATATAACTTTAGATTTAAGTTAATTTAGATGAATTCCGTTAATTTAACAATTTGAATTGAAACGTAAATTTCTACTACGCAGTTTATTCGAATAACTTCACAACAACAACTACTGTATAGATTTTTCTACATCCTTCCATTTCCTCTTTCATTGTCTATTTTGTTATTGACGTACAATTCTTGGTAAACGTCATCATTGATGATCGCTTAAGAGTCTAAACGCAACCATAGAGTCTAGAGTCAGCGACAGTCGTTTGCCGTGTGTTTCTTATAGGCAACGGGAAATCGCGACGGCTGACGTTCGCGTCTAGCGGCATGACGCTAGAATAGATTTTATTCATTTTTGCTCAGCGTCATACTCAAAATTTCTCTCTTGCTCTCAATTGAGTTGCCATATTTTAGGTAAAAATCAACAGTGCTACCAAATTTCAATGAGAATTTATATCAAAACATATGGCAGTACTGTTAAAAAAACAATTATTTTCAAAGATTGTGGATGTTTTTTAATGAATTATTAATAAAATGGAAGAAAAATAATTTTTTTTCAATAATTTTATCCAAATTCCTTGACATTATTGTTTATTAAATAATAAATTGATTTTGGTTTGTGCAACGTAGAATTTTCTGTCAGAAAATCAAAACAAATAATTGACATTTTGTGCCGCTAACGCCAACTCTTCCGTTTGGTTTTAACGCCGGCGAAAAAGTATGACGCTGACTCGTGACTCTCTGGTTGCGTTTAGACTCTAATTCCTCTTTCTTTGTTACTCCCTCGCCTGTATATGTGTTGTTGTTATTGTTCACTCAATGTAAGTTTGTATGTGTTTGTTGCATTGGTAGATTGTTCGTAAGTTTAGACTCTAATTCCTCTTTCTTTGTTACTCCCTCGCCTGTATATGTGTTGTTGTTATTGTTCACTCAATGTAAGTTTGTATGTGTTTGTTGCATTGGTAGATTGTTCGTAATCTAGGTGTTACCAGATCGTCTAGAAACTTCTGTAGCGACAGGCAAGGCTCATATAAATAGGGGAAATGGAAAGGCAGTTAGTCAGTTGTGAATCAGATCGCGAATTGAAACCGTCAAGTAAAGTAAAGCAAAGTAAAGTTGTGTCAATAAAATCATTGTAGTACTCGAAATCAGAAAGAACCCGCGTTTTATTTAGTACGCACTGTACTGGGAAATAAAACAACGTCTACACGGGATTAAGTAAAATCCAAGAACGTAACAATTGGTGTCGGAAGTGAGATGACGATAATACTACGATGAAGTTTAAGGATCTACGAGTGGAAGACTTGAAGAAGGAGCTCGATAAATTGGAATTGTCCTCTACTGGCAACAAGGCTGAACTACAAAAACGTCTGTTGGATGAGTTCGAGCGCCGTGGTATGAACATCGATACATATGAGTTTGACAGTAAGGATGACGTGGATTTATCGGAAATGGGCGAATTCAACGGCAGGGAAGTCTCGTCAGTAGCTGCCAGGGGTGACGATTTCAGAGAAATGCTGGCTAAAATGTTTGAGGAAAATTCCAGAATGTTAGTAGAAAACACGAGACGAATGTTCGAACAGAATTCCAGGAAGTTAGATGAACTCAAGTCAGAGAATGGTAGAATGAACGATAAACTCGAGAACATTACAGAAGTTATTGGAAGGAGAGTGGAAACCGTGGAGGTCCAAATTAAAGAGTTGGATAAGAAAGTGCAGTCGGTTGACGAGAAAATTCTGTCTGAGGATGAGAAATTTCTGGTCCACGGCCACAGGGTTACGAATCTGGAGAAGAAAATGTCGGAACTGGAAATTAAGGGTGGTCCGGTGCGAGTTCCTGATAACACAATAAAAATCAAACCTCCTGTATTCGACGGCTCTACGTCATTCAATGTTTTCAAGTTACAGTTCGAGACAGTGGCTTCTAGAAATTCGTGGAACGACAGCGACAAAGCGGTTGCACTACTTCTGGCATTGAAGGGCAGATGTTATTGCTGCACTGGAACGTAAGTACGGTGGCGAACATAAACAAAACATCTACCTTATGGAATTAAGGGGAAGAGTGCAGAGGGCAAACGAGACGTTGCAAGACTTTGCAGCTGAGGTGGAACGTTTGGTGCTAATGGCCTATCCAGGAGAGAAACATCCATTGGTGGACCGTATGAAAATCAAAACCTTTGTGAATGGCATACGTGACCCTGAGATTAAATGTGCAACATATGCGTCACCAAAAGCGTAATTTGCCGAAACCGTGTCGTTTGCCCTTTCCCAAGAGACGTCAAGAATAATTGTTTAGCCCCAGACCCACAAGATTCGCCAACTGGAGACCGAATGTTGCGAACCCAAATCTCTCGTTAACTCGATCGAGGACGCCATGAGGCGGGTAATAGAAGAAACAAAGTTAGTAGGGATGACTAAGCCCTACTTCCAACGAAAGATGGTAGAAGAATGGCTCAACAGTCCACCAATGAGTCACCGTTAAACTAAATCGAGCCAGTCCAGCGGGGCATGAACTGGCTCCCATCGACGATGGCCCCACAATCTCCATAGCAATAGTACAACAGAAAAGTCACAACCTAACAACAACTGGGTACATCAATGGTGATAAGCGAGTTCTGACGTTAGACACTGGCGCATCAAAGTCCATCATAAGATCAGATCTGG